TTAATGTTTAGCTTTTATAAATCTACAAAAATCAAAAAAATTTTAAAAAAAGATTCAAACTGGCACGCACACTACAGTCTAAAATCATTTCGAAAAGCAAAAAACACATTTCAGCTGTTCGACAGTCGAAGAAATGGGTGGAGTCGCTGGGGTTCGAGCTGGGCGCCGTGCCGAAAGGAATGGAGACCGCGTGGAGGAAAGTGCCTTCGATCGAGCCACTGACATCCAGCATCGGCGCTGAAATGCCGAAGATGAAGAAATCCCCGTCGGAGGCGTCGAATCACGTCTTCCTCGGGTGCTCGAGTCTTGACGAGTTGGACTGGGTCAACAAAGAGGCGGCGCCTTTTCTACAGTAAGTACTAATGTGACATCCATAGTCAACGAAAAATTGAAAAATATGGTCTCTGGGTTACGGTAGTTTCCCTAAACATCCAAGTTATAAAAGTCGAAATTAGCGGAAGTTTTAAAGTCGTTAGGGATACTGTAGAATGTAAGTAGTATCTTATGTGACATCCATAGTTCACAAAAAACCTGAAAATACGGTCTCTGGGTTACAGTAGTTTCCCTAAACATCCAAGCTATAAAAGTCCAAATTAACCTAAATCTTAAAGTTGCCAGGGATACTGTAGAATGTAATTAGTATGTTATGTGACATCAATAGTCAACGAAAAACTTGAAAATACGGTCTCTGGGTTACGGTAGTTTCCCTAAACATCCAAGCTATAAAAGTCGAAATTAGCGTAAATCTTAAAGTCGCTAGGGATACTGTAGAATGGAGTCAGTATGTTCTGTGACATCCATGGTTCACAAAAAAGACTTCTAGGTTATGGTAGCTTTCCCGAAAACATTCAAATTTTAGGAGACACGAAGTCGCGTACTCTACCGTACTCGCTTGTGACTCGGTTCCACCGGAAAGCCGAATGATTTTGCTGAAAAAGGGCTCGCGAGCTTTCCGCCAAGTTCTCTATCACATCCCATCGACGAAAACGTTTCTCTCAGGAATGGTCGAGGTGAGAGACCCGGTTCAATTATCCGACTTTTTCATTTTTCGTTTAAATTCAAACTATCCAGGCCCAGAGTCAAAATTTTACCCTAGTGCCTTCCAGATTGCCTATTTGTTGGGTCATTCCGATTGGCAAGTCACATTATGCGTGTCAAAAGAAGCTGAACTCCTCGAAGCGCAAAACGATCGAGAAGACGAGGTTGAACGAGCCGCCAGACGAAGAAGGTGAGAATTTTTGGGGAATTTGCCCAAGCTGGAAGGCATTCGACTTATAGAAACTAAAGTTGAGGCCAAATGCTAGCTTTTACTATGTACCGACTAATAGAGTGCATAGTAGAAAACGGAATTTTGGATAAATTTAAGTTCGCTAACTTTTAAGGACGTTTTCGGGTGTTGTGCCCTCCAGGAGCATCCTCTAAACGTTTAGTTTTCAGAAATGACTGCTACGCGATCGCCTTCTGCTACTTGAAGGATATGGCGAAACGGCATCAGTGTCGGGTCTTCTCCGACATCGACGAGTCCCTTCACCATTGTGTGAAATTGTCACAATCCGGTGGCTGCTAGATTTGGAGTGAAATAGATGGCCCAAAAGGGGTGCTGGAGTGAAATCTCTAAATTCTCCAGTCCAGAGTTGGGTAATTGAACCGACCCAAACTTTGACCCAAGCCGAACTTGTCCCAACGTTCCGATTTGTTGCCAGCGGTCCCTGTGACATCCAGATCGATCATTTCCCTCCTCAAAATCTGAATTTCAACCAGGAAACCGGTAGTGAGATGGGGGTAGCTGAAGTTGGGTAAACGAGTCGGCTCAAATCTCGCCCTTTGCCTCAAATTTGTTACCAGCACCCCTTGTGCCATCCAGATCGCCGTTTCCGCTTCTCAAAATCCCACCTCACCAATCGATTCCCGCCGCAAATTGCTCAATCGATTTCTCAGTGTATCCAGTGAAAAAGAGTCCGATCCCCTCATAATTATGTTTATTTTCCGCGTCTCCCTCGAGCCGATTACGGTTAGCTGGCCTAAATTTCAGATTTTCCTCGAGATTTTTGTGATTTTTATTATTTTTTGTCTCTGTACTTTTCTCACATGTCTCTGTGAAAAAAGCAATTTTCTTTTTTTGCGATTTTTTTCATTTTTCACAAAATAGGCATCTATTTTGCGTTCCAGATCGTCGTTTTTTGTGAAAAAAAAGCTTTTTATAACCTCGATTTTCGTGTGTTTTTCTGGGCAACACTTCTAGCGGGTACTCCTCTCATAAATTAAATGTTTTTTATTTCAAATCTTTTCAAATCTTTTTAAATTCCCATTCGGCAATAAAAACATGTGAAAATTGAAGAATTGTGAGCAAATTTCCTGGTGTTTTTGAGCTTTTTGATTTATTTTTCTTTGTTTTTATAGAGATTTTAGAAGATTTTCTATAGATTTTCTGTTTTTATTATTTTATTTTATTTTTCGATTTCTTTGGCTTTTGTTGGAGAATTTGAACTCCCTAAAAGCCAGATTGAAAAGAAAATGAATAAAAATTTGAAAGAAGCACAACTGAAATCGGGAAACAAGCACGACCGAAATGAATTGGTTGCGTAATTGAACCGGCGACTTTACAAAGATAAATGGCTCAAAAAAAGACGTACAAAGTGCACATTTGATGAGCTTGTGTAAACAAGTGTGTATGTGCCATGTAGAAACAAATGATCTCGGTCGTGATGATAGGCCTAAAATGATTAAATAATGAAACTGCTTGATGCTGAATTTGTCAATGCAATCGACTCGATTCGTGTAGTGGAAACATTAAATTTCCACAATAAAATAATCAAAAAAGATATCGTCATGTGTCTTTAACACAACAAATCATCGTTCAAAAAGAGAAATTGTACAGCTTTATTTCTTAGAGAACTAAAAAACGGCAAAATTACACAATAAAAGCACCATAACTGTAAAAGACTCAATAAAAACCCTCAAAACATGAACATTTCCTATTGTGGTTCAATGTAGGAGGCGAAAAATTTACTGGAATCGCCGCGGAAGGGAAGCATGTAGAGACAATCTCTGCTCGAGTCAATGTTTCGTCGAAAAATTGGACCTTCCCACAACTGGCCGGATCTGCCGCTAAAGTTGTTCACGAGTTTGTCCGCCATTTTGGTGACTTCTTGCTGATTTTCTAGGTCCAATCGCTTCATTCCACGGAATTGCGACAGAAAATCGACGATTCGGGCCATTATCTCCCGAGAAACATCGATTCCCAAATAATCCCTGATATACACATGAAAAGCCGCCTTCGAATTCTTGCTCGGGATCCCCTTTTCAACGATTGATCGCACGATCTCTTCAAAGTTATCCACTTTGGTTGAGATTCTCAAGATTTTGATCGAAGTCTTGGCAAAAGCATCGTAGTAGAACTGAAACGGAGCGGCAGAACGATAATAATCCCACAAGACGATTTGTTCGCAGTCATTCAGCCGATTTGAAATGAAATTCTCAAAAAGCTCCCTGATCAATTGATTTTCTATCAACCAATCAATGTCCAAGCAAATCAGCGCGAATCCTTCAATCATCGAGCGGAAATTGTCAAAAAATTTCAGCAAACACTCCTTTCCGCCAAAAAAGAGCTCCAAATTTCTCACAAAATTCAATTGATTCAGAATCGTCGCGTGTTCGTTGTTGAGTTGACCGCGATACTCACTTGTTCCAAAGCGTATCTTCAATGTGTCACACGAATGGATTCGTTTGCTTAACGGAAGCTGACTCACATCAATATAGCCGGAGAAATTGAACTTCCCGATCCCGATCTTCCCGTCAGGCCATTCATTCATTATAATCTCGTTCACGTGGTGGCTGAAAACGAGAGACGGACTGCGTGAAAGCATCCATTGAAATCCCGCATTCACTTTGACCAACTCAATCGTAGCCTTCGGGTCCATTCCCTCCAGCACTTCCCACTTCAGATCGTAACAGAGCTTCTCCATCGGAAACGACGTCAGATTCCTCATTTGAAACGGCATTTCATACCGCCCCTCGAGCGCCATTCTTGCACCTGTAAAAGAAAATAATTCGTTCTTGTCGGAAAATGAAAAAGAAAACACAAAAAGCAATCAATTTTTGGTGACAAAATGGTTTTCTAATGTTCTTAGGGTCAAACGTCAAATTTGGCTTTTAATAACCTTTTTAAGCCAACAACGTTCCTAATTTCATAAAAATCAGAGCAATGAGGGAGAAGCAAAACCATAAGCAAAACTTCCGAAATAAAGCTTAAAATTTCACAAAATCGGTCATAAATCATAAATAATATGGTCCTTGAACCAAATCACTGCTCGAAAACACCTTAAGTAGTAACTTTATTATTAGAAAATTAACCAGTAAACATTAAAAAAGTTACCAAATACCGTAAAACACTCGTAATCACATTGAGGACCAAGAAAAAACGGAACAGGTAACAATCTAGCAAGAAGTTCATACAAATCTTCATTCTTTCCGTTTCTCGATTTCGCTTTTGTACGCGCTTTTCAACAGGCATGCTCGTATCTGAAAATTTATTTTAAAAAATTTTGAAAATCAAGGTGGAAAAGTCTTTTCTATTTTAAATCACGTTTTACGGAAAGCAGCCGACTACAACCACAGATAAAACTTTCTTGTGGGCAGCTGTTCAATGCTTAAACTTCGGATTGGACTAGGATGACAGTAAAAGTCGGCAAAGAAGGAGTATCAATTTTTTACGCTACTGAAAAAACCCTAAGATTATTGCTAACGCTTGATAAACGAATAGCTAGTGATAATGATATGGTAAAAATCAGGTAAATGTTTGTTAGAATTCAAATTCTTAACCATTACTCGTTTAGCAAACGTAGCTAGAAGCATAACTGATCGAATTTTGCTGAAAACCGTTACAAGCCCACCAGCACATCAACATCCTCGATCAGGGACGTCGATTCACTCACGTTCTCCCCATCATCGCAATTTTTGGTTTACGGTTTACGACTCGATTTTTGATTCCTTTCGACTCACACTTTCCACAGCAACTCGTCGAGCATATCATTTCCTTTCTAAAGAAAAAAATTCAAGATGTAGATTGAGAAGTTTAAAAGTGCGATAAGACCCACCTTTGCAGCTTGATAAATGGATGGTTGCAGCAATGAGGTTGTCACAACTTGAATCTGGAGAAATGTAGAGAAAACGGAATAAGACACTAAACAAATGCCAAAGACTTTAACTGCTACCTTTGATATTCATCTGCATCTCGGCCAAATGGTGCATTTTCGGGCCAACAATTGTAGCAAAAAAAACACGAATTGTAGAGCGTCAATTTGTCCATTCCATCGGACCTCACTTCAGCCACGTGAATCTAAAGTTAAAAAGTAAAATTTAATTCAGTTACACCTTACTTGAGATTGCAGGCTTCTCAAGTCCTACATCATAAACAACAGCTATGAGCTTGTGTAGACAAGTGTGTCTGTGCCATGAAGAAACAAATCCGTCGGTAGTGATGATAGTGATGAAATGATTAAATAATGAAACCGGCTGACGCTGATGAATGCATGAAATCCCTGATGCAGTTTGGTTTGATTCAAAGGTTGCACTATGAAATTTGCTAATATATGTCAAAAAAAACCAACTCACAAACCTCTGCGATTCGGCTGATATCGCGAGGAGTGGTATTCTGCGATTCGGCTGATTGGCCGGCGCCTCGTGGCTGAACTCACATTGTACTCGAATCGGTGGCGTCAGCAGCACCACCTCTGGAAAAAAGCATAATGATCACTCATTGCTGATCATCTTTGTCACATCTTTATCATATGATGCTACAATTGTGTTGCCACCCGGCCACATTC